GTGGATATTATTAATTTTGGCACGATAAAGAAAATGTTTTTTTGAAACCTACATCACTCCCGACCGCATCTCACGATATCTGAATAACTATCGATTAACGGTCACTAATCTCTACACATTTCTATAGATTTTACTCAATGAAAATCCTTTTTAATTTGTTCTTGTGTTATTAATAGCATACTTCTGGATATTGCCTGACTGTTGTTTTCCTTTTATTTCTGACCGTTGAAATGTATCATTTCTAAAAACTAAATTACAGTATCCTAGCCTTGGTTTTATTTTGAATGTAAACAGCCGTCAGAGTTACAAAAATCAACATCGCCGACAATTCGGTTTGGGATGAACGGTTTTATTGGTGGATAATCATTGATGACGTATGTTTAAAAATCAGCTAACTCCAGCGAGAATCAGTTGTAAACAATTTATAAAGTAAAGACCTTTCAATTTAAATCAAAAGTGCTAACGTGTTTCAATCATAATTGCTTAATAAAATTATTTTTCCGTTAGGAAAAATGACAATAGTTGTCTCAAAATTTGTGAGAAAAAAAATTATTTCAAAAAGTAGATCTATTAATGCTAAATGTAGCTGAAATCAACCGCAAAAGTGAGTTGATTTAGAGACAAAACAGAAATATTGCGTCAAAAAGTGGTTTTATTCTAGTACGATAATAAAATTCATTCAAAAACACTTATCAATGGCAAAAATAATAACTTTCCAATGAATTATACACAGAGAAATGGGAATATAAATAAACTACGGAAAATATATTACTTACTTTCTAAATTTGTATAGCTTCTGGTAGTGTATTGTTGTGAAAGGTAGGTGAAGCTTATCATGACGATTTAAAACAAGAGGGGATGTGGTCGTTGAGGCCTTGGGGGTTTCAACCCCGGGAGAACTTTTTATTTATGACGGATGTGTGAATAGCAAAACGGCTGGACGGGACTGTGTAAAAAATCGTTTATGCGATTAATACTTGATGTAGTTTCATCACACACTAGCCATTCGGCATTAATTGTGTTTTTACTCAACTCAAGTAATTTCTCTACGAAAACAGACACTGAATGGCATTGGGTTATATTTGTCTGTGTATTTACTAAAATTAGCAGATTAATAACAAATTTTACTTTGAAATCTATTATAACGCTTAACGTATGTAAGATCAGAAAAACATTCATATTTCCCAGAAAAAATATTGAAACTTTCTTGGCGTTTTTTGTAATTAATTATATCCGTAGTGTTGTGAATAATTAGATTCACTTCTCGAAAACTAACTTTTCAGTAGACAAGCTTTTCTGCATTGTTATAAAGTCAATTCTTCCTTCAGTCATTGTTATAAAGTCAAACCTTCTTAAAAAAATCATAACTTTTCTTTCTCCAAATTATATTCATATTTATTATTTTGATAGCAACTTAACTCAACAATTGAATCATGTTGTTGTCAATATCGCCTCTTGGACAAAAACTGCATTATTTGGGTGTCTTTTTTGATTTAGAGCAGGCCTTCGATGGAGTCTGGCACTAGGGTTTGCTTTGGAAACTAAATAATGTCCTCCCTCATACGTACCATCTCGTACTGAGATCTTATCTGACGGACCGATTTTGCCGAGTACGTCAGGGAACTGAGTTCTTATCCTAATTACGCAATAGGGCAGGTGTTCCGCAGGAAAGTATACTTGGCCCATTTCTGTTTTCCGTATACACGCAGATATCCCATACATGTTAACATTTCAACACGTCCCTGATGATAGATCGTTTCTCTCACGTAATTCGGACCCTTCAATTAACACTCAGCGCTTAGAACATTTGTAAATATAAATGGAACCCATTGCCTACCATTGACCTTGTGCGTTATCTCGGGCTTTTCATGGATTAACGAATGATTTAAAATCCCGACACAAGACTGAAAAGATAACACACAAACCGACAATTTACAATTTATTAAAAAGACTACTTGACTCACTATTAAAATTAGACATTGAAAACGAACTTTTAATTTACTAATCTTTTTTGGGCGTACGATTGTGAAGTGTGAGAATTGGCCAATGATTCCAATTTACAACGTTTTAAATCAATTTAATCTAAAATTCTCCGTCAAATTTCATACTGCTTTTAAAGCATGGTTTATGATTTAAATTAAACTATTCAGAACGACGGACACACCACGCTTGTACGTGATCTCGTCAAAACCCCCTATAAAATTTACCATCACTCACTAACATGCACAATAATCTATTAGTACCACAGTTACTTCCAACCTTATCGAAAAATTCTCAAGTCGATTGAAGCGAAACTCTCCTCACCTTCCCATTGAGTGTAGATTGAGGAGGTTTCAGTATGAAAGAATATTGCCACTGGGCAAATTTAGCATGTATCAAACAAATTAATTAGGAAATTTGATAGGAAATAATAATCTATTAGAAGACATTTGAAATGCCAAACATTGATAAGTTTTTAAAAAAAACACTTAATGCCATTTATAACTAATGTTCATGTATTAAAGATATTTGTTAATCCTCCTACTGTATCTTTACTTGTACTTCAAAGTAGTATTGACAGTACTTATATATTATATATTAGTATCAACTACTTGTAGTATTGTGTGTGTTTAGTGACCGTTAGTCAATGATTATTCGGAGATCGTGAGATGCGGTCTGGTGTGACGTAGGTTTAGAGAGGATTTTCTTTATCCCTGAAAGATAATCTTACGTCCTATAGGGTAATCTTGATCAAATAAGAAAGAGAACAGGCTTCTGATCGATATAACCGCCGATGCTTGTGGACGTGGTTGAATTTGCTATCTAACCAAAATCCAAACAAGAGATTACAGACATTCGTTAGATTCTAAAACTAAGAGGGAAATTGCTGAACCTGCGTAATAAGCCGTATGATCTCCTAAGAAAACACTTACTATGATTTGAGCAGTTACCTATAAAGTTATTGAACGGACCAGACTTGTTTATTTATGCAAAAGCGGCATGGGCTTATTGAAAACTAATGCCAAATAAATTTAACTATGTATTTAGTACCTGTCTCTCTTTCTCTGTTCTCTCTCTCGATGTTTGATATTTCTGCTTTTCCAATCTCAAGTCTATTTCATTGTTTTTTACCTTTCAGTTTTGATTTTTCTTTCTCTCTTTCGTTTCTCTTTCCTTTTATTCGATTTTATACTATAATTTAACTTTTCTGTACATTTCATTATATTTATTATTGATATTTTGTTTATTTCTACGGATGTATAAGTAAACATTTAATTTATTATTTAGTATTTTATTATAACTATTACTCTTAGTATATCATTATGTTTATTTAGCTTAGTGTAATTTTATGTTTACTTAGTAGTAAATTTTGTACATCTATTTAATAGTTAATCCAACCTCTGGAAGAGGGAATTCCCCAATTACTTTTTGGTAGAAATGTACGTATTTTTTCTGTGTTGATACAATAAACTTATTATTATTAATACGTATTTAAGTTTTTAAGTATATGTACTGCCGAAGCAAGTAGGGATAAACTGTGTACATGGTGGACATCCTTAATTCTCTATCCCATTTAACTTTCCTATCCTCTCCTCCAGTGCTTTTCTCTTCCGTTCTCCCATTTTTGGTTCCGGTTCAGTGTTTTAGGGAGCAGAATGTGTGTCATTTTACCTCAGGGCAGTGCCACAGTTCGGCTAGGGAAGGACTACTGTGTCTTGTTCCAAACCCAGTCGCCTAAAGTCACCTAAAACAACGCTGCTGTTCAAGAAGGCGACTGCGATTCAAGGGCTGAGGCCATCGCAGGTGTTATTTCTTTGGGACTCTCTGTGGACGGTGGAGAAAGCAGCATCACCCAGTGAACTGGACTGAAAGAAGGTCGGAAATAAAGAATGAACTAAGCGAGCAAAGAGAAAAATACCTATATGCGTCAACTCTGATGGCCTGCATGTCCCGACTTAAAAAAGAATGATTAATTTTCAGTGGTAGAGGAACTCACCATACTCAGCAAATAACCAAAGCTATGCTAATGGCGTACAGAAGTGTTGGCAATTCAGAAGGAACCATCAGTCAAATATATACCTTTGGGGTGCCGGTGGTAGGATCTGGAGGAAGTTGGGCGATAAACCATCTACCTTCACAGCTCCCTTCTAAGTTTAAGGATCTGTTTAAGTCTCAGAAACGAAAGACAGTTGGTCTTAGTGATCCCTCACCGCCTTCAAGAGCATCTTCCCCATTTAGAACTTTGGGGGTAGTAAGAATCGACAGAAAGTAAAGTTGGGTGGTAGCTTAAGGGTCTCTTTAAGTCATCTCCTTCTGATAAAAACATCAAGCTGTGGGTCGTAGGAACTCCCAGTTTCAGGTGTCAGCTCACTACTAGAAATGTCCTGGTGATGATTCTCCCTTCTACTCACCAGAAAATCCTTCCGGAATTGTGCCCAAAGAGAGAGAGAGAGAGAGAGAGAGAGAGAGAGAGAGAGAGAGAGAGAGAGAGAGAGAGAGAGAGAGAGAGANGAGAGAGTGAGAGAGAGACAGACAGACAGACAGAAAGAAAGAAAGAAAGAGAGAGAGAGAGAGAGAGAGAGAGAGAGAGAGAGAAGAAAAGGACCTGATGGAGAAATGATAGTTCTGGTGTAAATTAAGCCAGAAAAAATGTTGGATTAAAAAATAATATAAAAAGGGTGTAAAGACTCTTTTGTAATAGACCTATTATTTGTAGAATTTGTATGGGGAGGTTTTCTCCTTGAGTCTGTTGGGACGTTTCCGATCATTTTGTTATGACTTTCGTCGGGGTTTTGAACTGTCTCTAATCGACCGAGCACAGAAGATGGCGGGACGACGAAACGTTCTGACAAAACCAAAATGATCGGACACGACCCCAACTATTGCATGCGAATAACCACTCTTTTACTTTATTTCGTAATTTTATTACATCTGGATGATTGTCTTTTATACGGCTGTTTGTTTTTTTAGCAGGTACTGCATTTCGATTCAGCCGGTATCGAACGCTCAAGATCGCCGAAGGAGTAGGTCGATGCCGGCGAGAGCGCATGTCCTGGTGGCAGGTGGCCGTCCTATTCACAGTTCTCTCTCTGCTACACAGTCCTGCACGTCGACCTCCGAGGTGAGTGGAAAAAAATCACATATTGTGGCCAAAAATTCGTAAATCGGCTGCCGGACATTCGACATTTGTGCAAAATTTCCTTTGGATTTTTGTCTCGGCTTAGAAAAAAAAAAAAATCGTCACATGCAGTTTTTTTATAACGTTGGATTCAACTAGAACAAAAAAATTATTAAGCAAATTAAATTTTTTTAAAATTTGTTTTTAACATTTTCATCTCGTCCTTATAGCAGAAAAATTCTACAGATTTTCCCAAAGAAAATGTTTTAAATTTTCCTTTAAAAAAATGGGGACCGTCATGTACTGATCGCCCTCGTATTATGTTAATATATTACTGTTCTAATAATCTTCCTTGAAAATCGTTGAAAGCTGCTGGAGTGCAGTCTGTAAAATTTTTAATTCGTAGTAATAAACGCCTCTATTGACGTCACTAGTGTTTCGACCCGACATCTCTGACAGAATTGTTTAAACCATTTTTTTTACAGAAATATATTAATACATAAAACGCTTCATATTACAATTCGAAATGATTTGTAGCGTTTAAATTTTGAACAAAGCAAAAAACGGAACCTGTTTTTCCATGCCTTATTATTCATTTATATGGTGGAAAATATGACTTTTTTAAAAATTTCCACTGCAAGACTGCACGTAGAACTGGAAAACCTTTCTACAAGAAATACAACACAGTATCTAATTTGTATTATTCGGAATTTGTATATAAAAGTTTATTGCTTTTCTGTTTTGCTAATTTTTTTAAAACTTTTATTTATTTGGTCATTTTTAATTATGGTAATGTGAAGGCATCGATATGCAATTGTCAGGTTGTTTGAAACAGCCTAGGGATATTTGAAAGATTTATGTTCAAAAGAGAACGCTCTTAACATTTTGACGACGTCATAAATTGCGTAATCTTGTGTCTAAGGATGTATAAAAAAGATTTTCTAGTTGGAAAAAGTGTATTAACTGTGTTAAAAAGGTCCAAATAACCATTATCGTATACTTAAGTAAGGCTTTGTAATATTTTATGATTTTTTTGTGGGGGGGATCTCCATGAAAGCTAACTGAGCCTGGCCTTCCTTTAAGCTACTTTGTAAATTATTTTGAGTTTAATTGGAATAAGTCAAATGACTGAAACAGGACAAAGCTTTGTAAGCCGTCGACCAATTTTTCTTGTATTTAAATATTCCAAGAGCGTGATGCCAGATACGTATTTGATAGGAAGGGGAAATTTTTAAATTTTTGACTTTTTTGAAGGTTCTGTGAGAACTTTTCTGCTGTTTTAAGAAATTCAATTATTTCCATAAGTTTTCGTAATGTTAAACAGTCATAACACTCTATAATATTGGGTTGTCCGGAAAATAATGCAGGATTTTGGTATTAAACAAAAAAAAAGAAACTAGTTACTTTAAAGCAATGTTCTTTAATCAAAATNTGACATTCATACAAATGAGTAATCCTGTAAACGTAAACAGAATATTTTATATAGATTTTTTTTAATGAAAACTTAAAATCCTGCATTATTTTCCGGACAACCCAATATAAAGTTGAGCTTGAATCTTTTAACATTTCATAATATTTTTTTATATTTTTCTGAAAGAATAGTGAAATATACACGAATAGGTAGACGATGAAGATCAAATGATGCTTTTTAACCATCAAACTTGGCAAGATCTCACATTTTTGTTTTTCGCCTTATTGTAACCTTTTTTTAAATTAGTTTAACAATTAAATAAAGGTTAAAAATATAAAAAATTGTCTAGTTTGTTTTCAGTGTTACACCGGATATTATTTCGGTTCACTGGCTATGTATCTAGTCAAATGTTTCACCATTCCTTGGCTTTGTTAATTATCTATTAGAGTTTAGAGGCGTCCTGCCGTTTTTCAACAACAAAATCCATGGCCAAAAAGATAGAGAATATTGTTAAACACATATATCCTGTTTACAGAAAGTTTAATCACCATTTTGGACGTGTACGATTGATTCGATGGAAATTTTTGTTTTCGTTTCTGTAACGTTATAAAATTCCATTTTCCTTCAACCTTAGATAGCGCAAAGAGCTTAGTTTCAGCGTTTAATACCGCTGACCTTTTAGAAATTTTATCACACGATCCTACCCCAGACGTCAGGAGAAATTTCCAACGAGTTGCAACGTGATAAAGAGATGCGGTATTGTTTCAGACAATTTTCTTATGGAAATTGTTCGCGTTGTCATATTTTATTCATAACGGCACGTTCCGTCGTTCAAGCAATGCTATGTCTCAAATTATACATTATGTCGTAAGATAATAAGTCAAGCGGATTGCATACAGTTTGTAATAAATTGTTTCCATCACTGGAAAACCGGCTGCGAATCGCGGGAAAACTATACATTTCTTAAATTACGCACCTTTTTCTTTTCAGTGTTTATTCCCGGGCTCAATCTATTAATACGAAATTTTGATCAATTTTTTAAATAAATTTTTATTAATATTTATGGTTTTTCCTTCTTGAAGGTGGGATAATAGGTCGTCTCAAAAAAACCACAACCAGTTTTTATCCTCACGTTTCGGATTTATTTTAATCCTTCCTCAGGTGAGTTAACGCAATGGTTAAAACAGTGGTCATCACTCATTAATATTTTATAACAGTTTATTTTAAAAAAGAGCCAGTGTGGTACTTTTTCAGACTACGAACAAACGTTTTAATATTTTTGCTGGTTGTGGTTTTTTTGAGATGACCTATTATCCCACCTTCAAGAAGGAAATATCGTAAGTTAAACTGTTGAGGTCGAAATATAAGAAAACATCGTTTTATTAATTCTTTAGTAATTTAAAATCTATATATA